AATGTTATCATTATTATAATAGCCATAAGATGTCAACTGCCTTACAATGCCTCCCCCAATGACTTCCAGATAGGCTGGTTGGTAGCAACCTGCATCGAGCGGCCTCCTGCGACCTTAATCAGAGGCCTTAGTAGTAGTACCTAAGTTTGAGGAATTGTTTGACCTGATACCTGCCGTATCTTTTCGCCATCGACCCACCATATAGATGGTTGGCAGGCCACAACTGTGCGCTTCTCACGATGCTTTCTGCCTCGCACAGCAAAACTGTGAAATGATCTGTCGTCGGCGGTATTTCCGAACCGATACGACCTTCAAACCTTCAAGAAAAGAGCGTATTCCCTTTTTAAAAGGCCGACAACGCACAGTGTGACTCCTCTGGTGTTGCGGGTGTCCATGGGCGGCGTTGATCGCTTACCATCAGGTAATCCGTCTGCTCGTTTGCCTCCTATTCCATAAAAAAAAAGTTTGTTTCACTTTTGAAGTAATCGAAACAAGTACGTGTTCGGCGCTATGATTGGTTAAATCATTGGAGCCGGCCAACGTTTTACTTTTAACGTAAAACAAACTCGTACTAAGGCCAAGGAAATAAAATGTGCATAATATTGATTCATAGGTAACAGAGTATATAGGTAATGGAGACTTAAGTTACCATCATCGTGAAATTTCAGGAAAGAGGATCATCCGGAATCATGGAAGATGGTAGACTTATCGTCGTCCTGAATCATGTATGTGTATGTAGATGGTTGGGGTTCCTACTTCATGGGGTTGTTCAAGGAATAATGGAAAATAGGACTTGTTGGAGTCTTGAACCCTGCCGTGTCACCTGATTGTAAGCAATCGGCGCCACCCATGGGCACTTGTAACATCAGAGGAGTTAAAGTGCATTGCCTGCTTTTTGGGGTTAGGGATTTGATTGGAGGTCTAGCTGCCTAATGTTTTAAAACATCATTTATTATCAACAATACTCATCAAATACAATAATCAATCAATAAGAGTCTGGAAAACAGCAAAAGACAAGCGAGTACTAAGAGATGTGTCAAAATTTTGTCTCTAGTATACTGAGAGGTTTATTGAACCACTGGATGGTAAGTGACCAGCCCTGCCCATGGTCACAAGACCGCAATACCAGAGGAGTTGAGTTACAAGTGCATTATTCAATTTTTAAGGGGATGGAACATTCGGTTTTTACGCGGGTGGCGATTTCCTGTGAGACCTTAGTAAATACAACACCATTGGAACTGACGCGTTCGCGTCGAAACATAAATCCCTGACTTTGTTAGTACTTTTATCAAATTTGTAGGTATCTATATTTTATGAGGCTTTTCTATTCTGCAGCTGTAGCCAAATGCCATTTAACTAGCGCTTGTCTACTTGTAGAGTAGAAAACTAAATGATATGGAATTGACGTAAATTTTGACACTTGTCAGTGTCATCCTCATACATTTAGTTTTCTACTCTCTCTGTAGACAAGCACTAAAGTGACGTTTGGCTAAAGGCACTGGACAGTTGATAATGCAGTCAATTACTTTATCTGCATATAGCTGGACACCTCTCTAATTTAGAATCAATTGCTGAATCGACTGCACGGTTGGCGCGGTGGCGCTGCAACTGACTGCCGCGCAACGTCTCGTGGTTTCGATTAACGCCTGGAACAACTCTTTGTGTGATCCACAGACTGTTGTATAATTATGAGCTTGTATGTTTGTAAACGGACCCACGATACAGGACAAAATCGTAGAGTGTTGCAACGTTTTGTTAAAAAAAATGTTAATTAGCTACCATACCATTTTGTACAGAAATTCATTTTTCAATATAACTTTTTTCCCTTTCAATGTTAGGCAAAAATTAATAATCATAGCGGAATGTTGTACGTATGTATACCATCATTATCTTGTTTAGGTATTAAAATGATGAATAGATTTTACTTAATAATTATTGTGTCATAAAGTAGGTACCTACAGAATTGAACTATGTCGTTTCTGCGGATATAAACAGGAAAACATTCACAAAATATGTATTTTATACGTTAAAATCATCCCGTTTATCGTGTAAAATAAAATCATTAAGTATTTGTACCTTCCAAGTGGTTAAGTCAATGTGACCCTAAATAATTGACATAATTTTACTAATATACCGACTGATTTTAGGTATTATAAAAATCTAATGCAACAGCCTGTAATCCGTCCAACTGCTGGGCAAAGGCACCAGCCGCGTCCCATATGAAGAAGCACCGAGCATTTATCACCACGCTTAAACTGTCAAACACCAAGCGGTCACCGGTGACCGCAACCTATTGTTCTATAATTGTGTCTACAAAACCGGTACTCGACGAGTTAAATTTTAACGCAATTTCAGACCTATAACTGAAAGAAAACAACAATACTATGTAACTGGAGAATTGTGGACTTGATTGAAAAAGAGTAACCTATGGAGTTTCTTGCTCGTTCTTCTCCATAGGAATCTACACCTTGAGCAAATAGCTTCACTTGTTAATTTTCTTTATTGACGTTCAAAAGTGCCTCTATGGTCTAATTGAAATAAATAATTTTGACTTTGACTTTGAAAACACTTTATTTCACACGCTAAATCAGGTGACACATACAGATTTTACACATAACATAACATAATATCATGCCTTTTATTCCCGAAGGGGAAGGCAAAAGGTGCACATTATGCCACTGTACAATGTAACACCCACTTTTCACTATTTATGTTATGAGTCCATGTAATAGGGGGTGAGCCTATTGACATATACCGGACACAATTCCAGACTCCGTGTTACTACTGAGATTTTTTTAAAAACCCCGTAATACTTTGCCCGACCCGGGAAGCGCACCCAAGCCGGCAGTCGCACTTGCGACCACTCGGCCAACTAGGCAGTCTTTAGATTTTACACATAAGTTTATAAATAGCTACTAATATCCCAAGTTACCTACTAATTGAATAAGTGGTCCAGTTTACCTCACTATATTTTCTTTCACAGTATATCAGTGGTATCTAAATTAATTAAGAACGTACTTAGTTAGGTACGTTATTACTTGCCAGATTTCACACTACGCTTGGGAAGCGAGCACTTTGACCTCTCAGTCATCAGCTACAAGTTACAATCTTGTAATGTTTAAATCATCGACTATTTATTATTTTTTAAGTCGATAAACTCAATAAAGCTTCACGTCAGCTCTCGTGACGTCAATGCTCGATGATGTTCGCACCAACATGGTCAACAACTACGTCATTTCTAAATCATCATCAAATCATCTATATAACCATTGGACTTATTGTTTTCAAAATAAGATTTTAAACTTAAAAGCACTATTGGAAGTCAAAACAAAATATTTTATAACAAAAACAGTTTTAGTTGTCTGTCAATCCCTTAGAGAAGAAGCTATTTGCTAGATCCAAAGAAATACCATACCACAAGTTACGTTTTTTTTTAAACAGATTTCTTTGTTACATTCTTAAGCTGGTCCTAATGTGAGAACAATGTACCTAACAGCTATGTTAAGCTATCCCTGAAAATTAATTGACCTACCATCTTAGCTTGTTGAATACCGTCATTATAGACACAATTATAGAACAATAGGTTGCGGTCACCGGTGACCGCTTGGTGTTTGACAATTTAATCCAAAATTCGTGGATTAATTTTAGTTTTTGATCAGAAAGTACATACCTACAGCTACCGTCAAATGTTGGACATAATTTAACCTCTGGTATGTCGGAGCGTAGATCTACGCGAGACACAAAACGTTTTCTATTGTCTCATATATCGACTGACAAGAGGTTAAGATGTGTTCAAAAGTTCCTAAAAATAGAAGAATAAAAAAGGTTAAGATATAATATCGACCATAAAGAGACAAGAGAAGAGAAAAATCTAATAAGTGACCTTAACTCTCTGGTCTATAAAGATGACTTCATTACTCATGTGCGTCGCAGTACCTACTAAGTATCTACAATTCTATACACATACATGCTGCGTAGGTATCAAAATAGTTACTTCTACGCGTTTGTCACGACTCAATCTGAAATTAGGTCACCCGTTTAGGTTAAAATTTTACCGCCAGCGCAATTTTATTTTTATGACGTCATAATTTTTTATGCCCTGTCAAAGGTTGCGATTTTTTTCTGTTCAGCAATTTTGCTAACGTAAGATTTAAAAGGTTTTATTTTATAAATCATAGATTTGCAAAAAAATTATCCGGAAATTGGAACCCGGAAACCGTTTGTTTAAAATAAATAAGTACCTACAACAGTTATTTGTTAGTAAAGATAGACATTTGATATTCAATTCAACGCAATTGTGCATTGCATTCCAACAAACGAAATAGTTACCTAACGTGGAATAAATATGCGCCTACATAATAGTTTTGAAACTATAAAACTGTTTAAACGCAAGCAAAGACTAGAACTAAATAAGCACACTGCCCTCCTTCAACACGGCCCTCATGACGTTCAAAAATATAAAAATGAATTTTTAGATTATTGATTCCATGAGCCGCGAGTCACCGGCTATACAATTTTTTTATATAAGTGTAATACAAAACACACACTCACACAGAAACAATTTTCATCTACGCGATAACTACACATACGGGAAGTCACACACACTCGCACAGTTTTACATAGAAAAACAGCCGTTCTCCTCTCTAGCCTATCTATACGTGCTATAGAAAAAAAACTTCAAAATAGTATGGCTTCACTCACTTTCACAATATATTACACCAATTTCAAACTATAATGTATGAACATCGGTCGCCATAAAGATTACTTTTGTTTGTATCAATATTATATTCCGTCTCTTTTACTCAACCGAACGCTTTCGAGTTTTCCCGTTCATGATCCATCCAACTCAAAATACGCCAAAAATGACGTCGAGCCAATGTTGTTTCGAAAACACAGTGTCTCGCGTTTCTTTCTACGGATACCGCGCGCCCGCTCGCCGTTTATTATTTGGAATTTTCCAATCCACTGATTACTAGTCGTCGTAAGTTTTACAAACAAATTCGAGTCCGTTTCGTATTTTTCGCGATTAGCGGCAATGTAGGAAAGTCGTAAGTGGCGATGGCAGTAAGGTCGGTTTTCGCGCGCACGCCGCGCCTACCCGGCTAAATTAAAACTGCCTGCTGAGAGCCCTTCGTCGGTCGGAACGAACTCGCCGCTGAAATAGATCGTATTGCACATAGAAAATTCTGACAGCTCGGGACCGTCACAAGAAAATAATGTCGTTTTTATTACATTTTTTGATAAATTATTATTCTAGTTTCGGTTCGGCGGCGTTCCAACGGCCTTATCGATTTTCCTATTTAGCGCGCTATCGTATTTTATACATTTTCGAAAGGTCCGCGGCGCGTCTATGCGCTTTCGAAAAATATTTTACAAGTATTTTCTCGGCGGCGAACGGACGTCGAGTGCGGTGCCGTAAATTGGTAATAATTCCGTTGATTACACAGTAATATAGTGTCCGAATATGGGTTAGTGGTGATGAATACGGACATGACGAGCGTTGACTTCTGTGATACAATCCTATGAAAAATGTTTGTGTTTGTGCAAGTTTTTAGTGCATAGTTGGTTGATAGTTTGTGTCTGGTGCATTCCGATTGTGAAAGTGCACGGCTTGTGTTATTGTGCGTCGGATGCTGCAGCTGTGGTCATAGAACTGGCTGCACTTTGCTCACCTGATCCGTCACTCGTAAGTACAAGGAACCTTTCTAGAATGGCCTCGTAGGGCTTAAATACCGTTTGAAATACACGAGCAATGAAAACTAATCCCATTTGACCCTGTTACTGACAAGAGTTTCTGTTAATTTAACTAATTTAACTTTAATCTCAAACATAACCTTAGCACTGAAGCCATAGCTGTAAACAACACCATAAAACAAATGAATATGTTTTTAAAAGTTCATTTTTAAATAAAGAATTATACCTATTCATTTATCCAGCTAGCTAGTTTATTAGCTACACTAAAAAGTATTAATATAAATTCTATGAAATTATGAATTAATAATAAACTCTGGACAAACAACTTTATTTTGTCTAGACTTTTATTTTAATAATAGTTATTTTTAAAGGTCAAAAGGAAGTTAAAATGCCACTCTAGAATAAACCTTTGATAGATATCACAAATAAAAATAAAAAGTATTTTACCCACAAAAAAGTTATTATTATACAACACACCTACATTTAGTTTTTAAATGCATAGATCTGACATTATTTGAAACTAAATTATTTACTAGTTAAGTAACTACAAAGATGATGGAGGAATATAAATGAACAATTACTTAATTATTAGTCTGTAATTAATTAAATAATATTCATGAAGTTAATTACGTAGTGCAAATTATTTAATTTTAAATAAATAGCCCAACACACCATAGCTATGTTCATGGCAGAATGTTTAATAGGGTTTACTTAGTAATGTAAAGAATATTTGTCACAAAAATAATGTGTTTTAAACGACACAGATATTATCTAATATTATCTAAAAAAAGTTATAATGATAAAATAAAGATAAAGATAGTTTTCAACAGGCAAAATAGAATATAAGTAAAAAGTATCATTAACTTATGTCAACAAGAGCAATAAAAAAAAACATTCATTTTATTCTTAATTCAAATTTTCAAATACAAGATGGATGATATTTTTGTCAAATCCAAATAAGTTTTAATAACTTAAATACCTTGTTTTTACAAGTATTTCATTCTCCTAATAAGATTAAGTAAGTACAAAATTTTGTACTTAAATTCTATGATATATGGTTTTTAAGATATGTCTTGCATAAGGTTCAAGTTGAATGTATAAATAATTGCCTATATGCTTATGTAAAATAAGTATATGTAAGTAAATACTTATTTTTGTTAAGTAACAGTTAAGTAATTTGGAATTTGACATAAGTTTTGTCATGTGAGTTATTTTGAACTTAGTAAAATGTTAGTTTATTATTCAAAATTCTGCTGTTATACTGTTTAAACATTGTTTAAATTTAATGAGTTTTGTTAATTCGTTATTTAATTAATATCTATCATAGTGTTATTAAATGCACTACACAAAACTGAGCTAGGATATCCTAGTGAATCATAGACACATCCACACATCTATGACATCTATCACCAAAGAGGTTTGATACAACTCCGGATTCTTGAATTCCGGACTTCTAAATAGGTACCATACCAATTAAGTTTTGCTCTATGGTTTTCTACAGATTTACACACTTCCTTTATTTTGAGGTAAATATAAAATTAATACACTTATAATAATTAAATTAATTGGGAAGATTTGCAGTGTAGTGTATCTTTCAGAATGACATTGAAATTTCATTTCGGAATAGGGATTAACTACTTCAAAAATTATATTTTGACACATGAGAAGATATAAAAAGCTATTTTTCTTTATAAAAAATGCTAAGGCGTAATGATATTCAATTATGGAAATCTAAATTTAAATCAGAATTTGTAATTGTACAATTTAGATTACACAAACATTTAAAAATTTTTTTTTTGAATCTTAAATCATACAAAAACCTGTGAAGGTTGGAATATACTCTTTTAAATTAAATATTTCAAGGAGCTTTTAGATCCAAAAATAGATATTGTATACATATGTTATTAACATCTGTTGTTTTATTTCAAATTAACAGTTAGGTGACTTGACTACAAATAGATTAACTCCATGGTATAAAACCTTTTTGGTTCTTGTTTACTTAAATGACAATCATAAATTATAGAATTTGAATTGTGAAATGGCAATTGTCTGTGTTATGATTTGAATATGGAATGTTATTTATATTTTTTAAATGTCACAGCATAGAGCATTTCACAATATTTTTTAAGCTAATGTAGGTATTTGTTACTCATCCCAGTTAGATATGTTCAAATATTTATTGTCCTGTGTTCAAAGATCATTATTTTATTTTATCTCATTTATTAAGGTCAAGAAATAATATTGAGTAATAATGAGTTGTTATTACATGAAGTAAGTAGGTATTATAGGATTGTTATTATAGGTATATTGCAGTTTATGCGACCTGCGATAATTACCTTCGCTTTGCGACAAAATTTGTGTAGTTATAGACAACTTACTTCCACCTATTTGGCTTCTAAGCCAAAAGCGTACCAAAAATCCCAATAAGTGGGTTTTTTGCGTAATATGTGCGATTTCCACGTGTAACTCATTAAAAGACCTGATGTTACGATAAAAAAAAAACTAAAATTAAAATAGCTGTTTCGTTATTAATATTAAGTACCTAAATATTAAAACCAAAATAACTAATTATGGTTTTGTTGTTACGCGCCGTATTTTTTCTCAAAGCTATTATTAAACTTGTCACCTAAGCCCAGGCCAAAATTAATTAAGTACCGATTTCTATCCGAAATTATGTATCGATTTAGATTTCTGACTGAGACTGGAGACATAGTTAATAACGGCGATCTAAAACCTAGGATTTTGCATCATTAAAGTGCGGGAGCGGGCCGGAATGGGCCGGTTCGCCCGGAGTGATACCACGGCCTCACAGAAAGATGACGTGTAACAACGCTAGCGTTGTATTTCGGCGTGTGAGTGAGGTTACCGGAGGCCCAGTTATCCCCCCCCCCCCACTTCCGCAATCCCTGAATCCCAATAATCCTCAAAAGAGGCCGGTAACGCCTCTGGTGTTCCAGGTGTCCATAGGCGACGCCGATGGCTTACCATCAGGTGATCCGTCACCTCGTTTACCGGCTTATCCTATAAAAAATCACTCTAAATTTATTTCGTTCGTCAAACATATAAAATGTCAAAAGCAATTTCATTTTAAGATTGACATTGGTCACTATAATGGACACTATAATTGTTTACTTCGTCTATAAGTCAAATTTTACACAAACCTGTAATCTACTTTAAAAAAAATATATTCAATACATTTTAAGAACTGTCATAGAAAAATGTATTCGATTTACAAATTCGCGGGGCGGCTGTCATATATCTTTTTTCTGTAATAAACAGCTAGCGTTCTTATTTCAAAATATCTACCTAACTAGGTAGCTAGAGGCAGGAAAAAACAAATGAAAAATATTTTTAGAATTACGCAAATGATTAAACGAATAAATTATCGGAGGTAGGTACCTATGTCTAACTATTTACGATTAAAAATTAATAATTAATCAATCTCATTGTTTGTAAGTTTTTGATTGAAACACAATAGCATATTTCTTTTTAAAAGGTCGGAAACAAACTTGTGAGTCCTCTGGTGGTGCGGGTGTCTATGGTTGGCACTGATCGCCTACCATCAGGTGATCCGTCTGCTCGTTTACGTCCTATTCCACAAAAATAAGAAAAATAGAACTGTCGAAAATTCAAAAATCAATCCCGCAGATTTTGGATTACATTTATTCCACGAAGTTATTAGTTATTTTGATTGTAACTAATAGTTCGTTTTTTTTTATGACGGGGGAAACCTTCAAAGGGCGCCTAGCTTTATGGGGAGCAACACTAAGGACAAGACCGCTACAACCTCCCAAAACCGCTGCAACTCCTGTGCACCAGGATCTGCAGTAGATACAACCATGCAAACACCGGAACACTGAAGTCCGGCGCGTCCCAGGGACATGAATAACTGTCTTGGATCCCGCAACGAAATAGGGAGTGTCGAACTTTTACCTCATTAAAACCACCCCGCCACCATCAGGACCTGTAAGGAACACCACTGATAGCTCTGCTCCGGAACATCCTGTTCTCATCTCGTCTCTAGGGAGACGTTTGTCTCCTTTAAACCTAGTACCTAGATGATACTACGTCGAAATTATTTGTTTTACTTGGTCAATAATGTAGGCACTAATGTAGGCCGTTAATTGGGTACTTTCCTTAATCAAAAATAAATTATTTCGACTGTTCAATACAATAAAATATTAAACAATAATCACACTTTCATTAATTGATTTTATGACCAACTTAATTTTAGTATTTTACCAGCAAATTTTTGAGAAATAAGCATGCTGTTTGACGCTAATAAAACGTGACGTCACAATCACAATACACAATCTCGTACAAAATTCGTAGAAAACTTTCGTTTTTGACAGTTCGAAAAACTGTTATTGAATTTGACTAGTTGGCAAGTACCCCCAATTAGGATTATTGGTTGTTTAGCTATTTCGATAAAATTATGAAGACCGAAGAGGTAAAATAAGTTAACGCTTCACAGTGAAGACGTATAGTTTTAAAACCCTTTATCCTACCTAAAAATATTATAAATACAAAAATTTGTATGACTGTTTGTTTGTTAGGCCTTCACGTCAAAACGGCTGAAAGGATCGAGATGAAATTCGGAACAGAGGTAGATAATAACACATAGGATACTTTTTAACGGGATCGCGGGCAAAGCCGGTGGCTAGAAGCTAGAAATATTAAAGTCAAAATTACGTGTCAAAAGTTGTCGTTATTATCAAAAAAATTCCTTGCATAGATACACAAAACAAGGGCGCATTCGTAACCCGACCTTTAAACTGCCTTCTATAAACAAATGCATTCTAAGAACAATGCGGGGTAGACAGAGATAGCTAAATACGACCACAAATTGGAGAGACAGAGACAACAAACAGAAATATGCATCGCTATACTAATTTAGTACTTGTTCATTTCATTTGAAGAATTAAGATTGTATTGTCTTGTGAATTGACATGTTTGAATGTAAATAAAATAAATTAATGACTAACTTGTTCA